TTTACTGTAAGTGACCTCACAAATGCGCTTCTGGAAGAATGGTCAAAAATTCCCATAAACACACCCCTGAACCTTGTGGACAGCCTTCCCAGAAGAGTTGAAGCTGTTATAGCTGCAAAGGGTGAACCAAAATCATATTGAACCCTATGGATTAGGAATGGGATGTCACTTACGGTAAGTTCATATGTGAGTAAAGGCAGATGAGTGAATACTTTTGGCAATATAGTGTATGATTAGGAGGAGAGTTCACTTCTGACGCACAGCAATTAGGAGGAAATGAAATGCCCCCCAAAAGAGAAAGCCATTTATTATTTAAGAATCTTGTCCATAACTACTCATACATGTCAATTTCCTTCTCATATTCTCATTCCTCTTTCCCTAAGAGGATTTACATTTTAAAAGAAACTAAAACTATAGGTGAATAAACTGAAAGCTCAAAGCCAGCCTTTGTTACATATACCTTTGTACACATCACAGGCCTCTGCCTTTCGGCGTTAAAACATGTCTTCATAGTTCCTTCTACTTCTTATTAGTATCCCCAAGTCTATTTCTCTAGGTTTTCTTTCTTTCTTTCTTTTTTTGCCTGAATATGTATCTGGACTGATGGACTTTTCTATATTGTGATTCATGCTGCACGAACCAGAAAAAATGTCACTTCAATTCCTCTCATTCATAGGATCTGAAGAAAATGGGGATTAAGTACCATGTTCTTAAAACACACCTTTCATCAGTCCAATTTTCTAACCAGCCCATTTAACAACGTTCCTGTTTGTTCAGGGAGAATGAAGGAACTCTGGTTGTTGCCATGGCTAAAAAAAAAAATCATGTTTATTGAGTTGATTGAGCAAATTCAGCCTCTTACTGTTTTAAAACAGCAAGCATTCACTGGGTGTCACAATGTTTTTCTCTCTGTCTGACTCTCTCTTTTTTTAATTTGCAAATTTCAAATGAACGTACAGACTGGTGGATTTTGCAAAAGACTTGTCGTTAAAAGGTTTGCACAATAGTGAATGAAAAAAAAACTATATATAGTTTAAAAAGTCTGACTCTTTAAAACTGGTCAAACCAGACTGGGAATATTCAAGCGACAAAGAGATTTAACCTCTTAAGGAGCAAGACATTAGAAATTGTTCATGACCACCTAGGCATTCTGCACGATAATAGATATTCCGGGACATTTGGTTAACATCTAAAGCTTTGAGACAGTAACATTTGAAGGGATATATGTACATCTTTTTTCACTAGAGAGAGTCCTCGGCATATAACAGTTCATTTAGTGACCATTCCAAGTTACAACACCCCTAAAAAAAGTGATTTATGACCATTTTTCACATGGCTGTGCAGCATCCACATAGTGACGTGATCAACTGACTCGCATTTATGACAGTTGCAGTGTCCGGGGTCATGTGACCACTTTTCGTGACCTTCTGACAGTCACTGGGGAAGCCATTTAACAACTGGGTTACTATCTTAACCTGCAATGATTCACTTAACAACTGTGGTAAGCAAGGTCGTAAAATGGAGCAAAACTCAGTTAACAAGTCTCACTTAGCAACAGAAATTTGGGGCTCCATTGTATCTGGGGACTACCTGTATTAACATACTTATTTGAAAGAACAAGACTTTTTTAAAAAAAGGTTGAAGTCTTACTTTAGCGATGACAATGGAGAGGTAAATTTGGATTACCATAGCTGGATTTCCTCGGTTGGATTTTTTTCCACTTAGCCAAAACTGTGGTGCCCTCTCTTTGAGCTCAGCGAGAGGTAGAGAAAACTTCAAGTTATATTTGGCATTTTAGGAAAAAGGCTGAATTCAAATGAAGTGAGTTGCATTTCACTCCCAGTGGCTTCAGAGAGAATTTGTCAGGACTCAATCCATCAACCCATAAAGTTCATGGAAATCTACAGTTTATTTAATCTAGTCCTGATCATTATTTTTCTAACAACGATGATGAAGCTTGGGGTAGCAGTACATTTTTCCCCTAAATCAGCAAGCCCATTGAAATGTTTCCAAATTTCTACCGATTGAAAACTGAGGTTTTTATCGGCTGTTCGCATCAGAAGCAGTGATGGGATTCGAAACTCTTTACTACCGGTTCTGTGGGCATGAATTTGTGGGTGTGGTGTGGCTTTGTGGGTGTGGCAGGGGAAGGATACTGCAAAACCCCCATTCCCTCCCCACTCCTGGGGGAAAGATACTGCAAAATCCCCATTTGCACCCCACCCCACTAACCTGCTTTCCAGCTCCGTTCTCCTGTGCAGAGCAACAAAAGAAGATCGGCTGGGAGGCTGGGGGGGGGGGGGGGGGGGGGAGCCTATTTGCCAGTTCTCCAAACTACTCAAAATTCCCACTACCGGTTCTCCAGAACCCGTCAGAACTGGCTGAATACCTCCTCTGGTCAGGAGCCCTTTCAAACTGTAGACGTATAATGTTCAACACTGAGCAGATAAAATGATAGCTGAAGACTACAAGCAAGCTTGACGGTGCTGCCTCAATTTTTTTTGCAGATTTCTTAAGTGGACCCTAACCCCTTTCAGACACTAAGTTCTTGCCTGCAGTATTTTTAAAACAACTTTGCACAGAGGGGATTTTTACCCAACAAGGTGAGGTTCTCTTTTTAATGAAGTTGTTTAGAGAAAAGCCCTAGAAGGGAGACAGATTCTGAGGAAACAAAATGGCGATCCTTGGGTGAGTGACGATCCATTCAGCTTGAGTTAATAACAACCAGACCGAGACAAAATCCAGAATCTTCTATCGCAGAGAGTCGTATATTCTGCAATAGGGGAATTGTTTCCCCATGAACAAAACACGAAGGTGACTCATACCATTGGAGCAAGGATTAACAGCAGCCCTGCCCAACCCCCCCCCCCCAAGGCTTCCCAAACAATCTTCAGCATTGATTCCTTGCAATTTCCAACCCCCCCACCCCCACCCCTGGAAAACTACTTTCTAAATGCTTCTGCTCCCTCTTGGTTGTTGACATGGAAACTGAGACTGGTATTAAATCAAGTGGTTGCACTGAAGAAATTGGATCCATTCCCCCTTGGCTCAAAATGGGCACAGGACGATCTGAATGAGATCCAGTGGCAAAACAGAGGTGATTTCGTGGTAGAGCCTCTACGTTATACGACGAAGGTGACATACTTCCCTCCACAATTCAAGGGACAAAAAGAGGTCCATCGAGTCACATTGACATATAGGTCCTTTGTCCATGGTCCCTCCCCCTTTCTGTTTACAAAAAGAAAAAAGAGTCTCAAAAGCCAGATTCCACCATCTCTTCCTAGCAACATTATCATGGAACTGAATAAGGAAATGACATCCCATGAAGACCATGGAGCTCTATGGAGATCCAGCAAAGCCCCCTCCACACTTTGTCCGTCTCCAGAGCAGATCATGCTGCCTCATCTGTTTAGAGAAGACCAAACTGGGTCCACTCAGTCTTGCAACGGCTGGACGAAGTTGGAAGGAAAGACACCTGTCCTTGTGCCATCACCTGCAATGAATCCAACCTGGAAGGAAAACATCCCATGAGAACGAGAAACTACAAATAAAGAGTAGCAGCACATTAGGCTCTGATCCCAGTTTCTTCCCATAGGGAAAGAAATGACAAGAACTGGATGTGAAGCAACCCTGCTTCATTAGATCTGCAGCTATGTAAGAGGTCTTCTACCGCACTGCCTTAAAATGGCTTCTACTGTACAGCACTGTGGAATCGCCATGGTAACGGATTCACAGTACTCCACAAGGGGGTTCCCTCTGGTAATGGAGAAAATCCAACAGAAATTGTTCATGGAAGGAGGATTGGGATAAATAAATACCCAGGTAGCGCCAAGTTATCAGCTAATTTATTAAAATTAGGGATGAGCCTCTCTGCGCCACTTCTAAATGTTCTCTGGCTGTTCTGGACTCAAAAATCATTTCATCCCCTTTTGACGAGCCAAAAGCTTCTCTCCATGAAGGTCATTTTCCTTGCTCTTTTCTGCATGTTGAAATTTTAGCTCTCGTTTCTCCCAAAGTGGCTCTTGAAAGTTACTGATCTAAAGATAAAATGAAATGCTGAGATATTAAGTCAAGGGCTGCATGTAAGATAGATTTGAGAGGGGAAGATGAACAAAAATCACAATCTAGACAAAAACGCAAGTGTCCTTTTCAGGAATGCTTCCCAAGGTATTTCTCTAAAGGACAACCTTCTCCTTCTCCACTGAAGCTCAGAGGAAAATTATATTTCTACTCTAATCCGGTGAGGAAAAGCAGCCGTACTGACCCAATTTTGCTCATCCTCTTCCCGTGTTACTACGATGACTTCGCCCTTGGAGAAAGTCAACTCGCGGGCCTTGTCCCCTTTGCAGTCAGCCAAAGCCTTGACTCGATTTAACCGTCCTTTGGCCTGTGAAGGGCAGAAGAGTAATTATCAGTTTTATGATAAAATCCCTTGCTTCCCCCAGATGGCTTTTATGGCTGAAGAGGCAGAGAGGTGACAGCGGTGCTGGGTGCAAACGAATTTGCATGAAAGCAGCATAGGGTGTTCGCTGCACTAAGGAACATTCAACAAATCTCTCTGTTGCTTTGACCATAGGCAGGGGTGGGATTCAGCCAGTTTGTAATGGTTATTAATTTTATATCTGGTTCGCCGAACTGGTAGTTGTACGGACTGGCTCGGCCTGCCCACTCTGCCCCTCCCAGGAGTTTCCACGGGGCCCGTTTTAGATACCAGTTAAGTGCAGGGCCAATGCAGAGGCTCTGGGAGGGTGAAAAATGGGCCCCCCAGAAATCCAGAAACTGTTCCCGACTCTAGGGGGCGGTGCTCATCTCTGTTTTAAAGCCGAAGAGCCAGCATTATCCGAAGACGTCTCCATGGTCATATGGCTGGCATGACTAAATGCCAAAGGTACACGGAACGCTGTTACCTTCCCACCAAAGGTGGTTCCTATTTTTCTACTTGCATTTTTACGTGCTTTCAAACTGCTAGGTTGGCAGAAGCTGGGACAAGTAACGGGAGCTCATTCCGTTACGCACCACTAGGGATTCGAACTGCTGAACCTTCTACCTTTCTGATTGACAAGCTCAGCATCTTAGCCACTGAGCTACCGCATCTCATGTTATGTTATTTTATCCATATTATATTTATATAGCTTTATTTAGCTTCCTGTT